CCTGCCTGACCCTCAGACGGGATCCCACTCTTCTGCAGGATCACTCCCTTCCTCAGTGCCTGTCCAGGCTCCTGCTGCCCCGCTTATCCTAGGCCTCCCTGGGAATCCTCTCACATCTCCTAGGTCCTCCGTCCCTGCTGCCTGTCGTGATCACAGGCATTCTATAGGAGCAGACGTGAATGAACCACTTACAACACAGAATCTCCTTACAGAGACCTCAGCAACCTGCAGTTCTAAGCAGGAGACTTCATCACACAGAGGACAAGGCTGAGGCCGTCTGTGGCTAAGAAATATGCCTCTGTTTGAGTGACCGTGGATCTCTTTAATCCGTTTGGGGCTGAATATCCCCTCTCCAGAAGCACCTCTTTACTCCCCAAGCCTAGCAGAATGATCGCCCCAGGATGACTGATAGCTCTCAGAGGCACTCTCAGAGACACTTCGGTCTCAGGAATCCTCAGCTCAACCCTGCGAAGTGAACCTGTTTTCTGGAGGAAGAAACAGCCTTCGGTTAACCGGCCTTCTTAAAGCCCCCCAGAGGAAGAGGCAAGGATGGCACTCAACACAGGCTCGTGAAACTGGCCTCTCTTCTCAGTGAGGACAAGTACCTGCGCCCCTCTATGTCCCTCCGTGCACCCCCAACCCAGGGCTGGACACAGAGCAGATGCCTGCATGTGATCTCCAGCCGACAGGAGGCCATTCTTGGCAGGATGTGAGGCCCACCAGATGAATGAGCAGGGTGAGGGCCTGCACAGGCCTGGTACAAGATGCCAGGAAGGACACGCCCATGGACACCTTCTGCAAGGAACAACCAAGGGTCTGTGAGCTCCCTCGGGCAGGGGCTGTCTCTGCCACACTCGCTACTGGCTTGTGAGCCCCCTTGGCATCTGTCTCACACTCGGAGCTCAACACACACCTGTTGAACCACAGCATAGGCTTTTAGAAAAGCTAATTCCTTCTGGATCGTACAGCAAGCATTTACATTCGACCACGGCAGATGCTATGGCTCTGGCCACAGCTCTGACCATGTATCCACTGCTGCTTGTATGCAAAGGTCAGGACTGGGCTTACAGAGAACCAAGAGACTGTACAAGGCACACATTTTCTGTCCCTGCTTCATCCACCTCATGTGTCCTGAGGCACACTAGGCTGGGGAGTGCATCCCTGTCCTCCTTCCCAGTATCAAGACCTCATCCTCCTATCCAGTCCCTCTCTGTGAGTTTCTTTTGGGAGACCACCAACCATACATCACCTCTGATCAGGAGTAGTCACATGGCCTAGGCCTGACCAATCAGCACCTTCTATTCAAAAAAGCTGCCGCAATTGGTCCAAGAATGGACATGTGACACAAGCTGCCTACCCACTGAAAGTCGGCCTCAGCGATTTTTCTTGGGAGAGAAAAGCTCTCTGGCTGTAAGCCTGTTGGAATTTGGGAGCCAGTGGGAATTTGGGAACCACAGGTCAGTGTGAAAGAAAAGGCAACCCAGGAGAAATGAGAGAGACACAGGGAGAGAGACAGAGAGAGAGAGCGAGAGAGAAGAAAGGAGAGAGCTAGACCCCAAACCACCATGATTTAAGATCATGGATCCAGCAGATCTGCTGCTGAAATATCCTGACCCAGGAGCCAAAAACCTAACATGTCTCTCCCTAACTTTTGTATAACTTAAGTTGCTCCAAGACACAATTTTTCATTCATAATTTTAAAAAGTCCTGCCACGGTATCAAAACACGTCAGCTCTCTTCTCATCCAGAAGCACCTGAGGTCCAGAGCTCAACCTTTATCCTCCCCTTCCCGGGGAGCACTCTGGCCTCTCCTCCTTTGGGCTCAGGGGTGCCCTGGGGCTTGTATTTTCTCGAGACCCCACTGCTGTCTGGCTGGCAGATGAACTGCAACCCAGCTTCCGCACTGTCAATGTTGAGCTCTCCAAAAGGATGATGGAAGCCGTTTCCACATTACTTAACATCTCTGCGGGCTCATCCCTGCCCAGGTCCCTGCAGGTAAATGAGCTGATGCTAAATGCAGCAGCAACTCAGCACTCACACATAATGAAACTTTCTGAGGTTTGGATCTTAATGTTCCCCCAGACTTGGTCCCCTAGGAGGTGGAATCTAATTAGGACACCGGAAGTGTGTCTGTGGAGGGTACTGGGATCCCTGCCGCTTCTGGTGTCTCTCTTTGCTTCCTGGCTGCCATGAAGTGAACAGGTCTCTGCCACCATGCACGCCCACCACAGGTTCTGGGCCATCACAGCCCGAAAGCAACAGGGCCAAATGACCATGGAGCTGTGAGTCAAAATAAACCTTTTCTCTTATTGGGATATTATCTCAGGTATTTCATTATAGTAATGGAAAATTGACTAACAAAACCTATGACAAGAAGCATGCGTGTTTGTTTCTCTCCCAAACCTTCTGATTGCTTTAAAGTCTCAGTTCCATGTCACTACGGCCTTGACCCTTCCCTGCCACTTGCTTCTCTTCCTACTTAATACACAGAGGAAGCATTGAGCTCAGAATTTTCCACAGAATGCCAGTTTAGAGGATTGGTTTGCTCTCCTTGCATATAATTTTGTGAGTAACTTTGATTTGAACGAGTGTTACTAGTTGCTCCTTTCTTTAGTTTTATTAAAGTTTTTGGAAATTAATTTACATACATGAAACATGATCTATGTAAAGAAAATAAATAAGGGAAATGAGAGGAGACACTTGGCTGTAGGCTGTTGATAAGCAGCAACTTTCAGGATGAAATGTAACTGGCTCGGCCACTTCCCTAGAGCCCTGAAGATCTGTCCAAGGTCACCCCTCGAAGCCTTGCTAGGCTGTGGCTATAGTCCGTCTCACTGAAACTCATGTGAAGCTTAGTTCCCCCTGGCAGTGTGCTGGGAAGTGGAACCTTGCAGAGGGACTGATGTCTTTCTCATGAGCCTGGATTCATTCTCTGAGGAATAGATTAGTTACCACCAAGGCAGGTCAGTCCGGTGCCCCTTGTCCCACTCTTCTGAACATGCTTGCATGATCTGTCCTTTCTTACTTTGTTTTGTTTTCTTTTTTGCCATGTCACAAAATGGCATGAGGCCCTTAGGTGACATTGTTTCTCAACCATGTATTTTCTAGCCTCCTGAACTGTGAGCCAAAATAACCCTTTTTCCTTTCTAAAGAATCCAGTCTCAGGTATTCTTTTATAGCAACAGAAAATGAGTGAAGACAAAGAGCTGAAGGACTTGTGACCCCTAAACGGGTCTCACAGAGTCAAGCCTTTGTCATGGTGCCCTTTCTGCCCGGATGCCCCTTCCATGCAGCTTCCTTCTCAACCTGCGATAGTCTTGTTTATCCTTAAAGATTCAAGACGACGTTATTTACTGGGGTTATTCTTTTGTTTCACTCCTGGGATATTTCCAGTGCCCCTGCCAACAATTTCTTTGTTCTCTCAGTCCACCTTTTGTAGGTTGCTGACAAGAAGCCCTTCCCGTGAGGCTGAGAGATCCCAGAAGATGGGAATCGTCCTTCTCCCCTGTGGGGTCCAGGTGCTCAGTCAGTAGAAGAGGAATTGGAGGAACCTGCTGGGAGATGGCGATCCACGAGGTACAAGCCCAGAGAGTGGGAAGAGATGCAATTGTAAGGCAGAAAGGAGTGATATGCAGAGCAGGTGCCTGGGCTGAGTCCCAAGACATGGACCTGGGGATTCCATCAGCAGAGAGCATCCTGGGACAGAAGGATCTGGTGCACACCCAGAGCAAGGACCTGCTACACCTAAGCCCTCCACCTCTTCCTGCATCTGAATCATCTCAGAGCTTGCTACCTTAATTCTCAAGCCCCACCCCACAGAGTGTGACTCAGGAGACTTGAAGTGGGCCAGGGAAGCTTTGTGTATAACCAGGGCCACACTCTGAGACGCACAGGGCCCCGGGGTGCCAGGTTAGGATGGAGATAGGGAGGGGCCTGACAGGTAAAATGGGGAAATTCACACAAACTGCAAAGGTGGCTCCAAACACTGCATTGCTGACTGAAACACAGTCGTGTAAGCCCAGCACTCACTGAGGCTGAGGTAGAAGGACGGCGAGTTCGAGCCTAGCCTGGGCCATTTAGTGACTTCGTATGATCCTCTCCCAGACAAACAGACAAACAAACAAATAATCAAAAAATCAAGAAAGAGCTGGGGGTATAGCTCAGTGTGAAGGACCTGTGTATAATCCCCTGTACTGCAAAACAGAAAAAGAAAAAACAAAGAGGCTGGAAACATAGGCTGGGAATAAGCCTTGCCAAGGTTATTTAAAATACACCCCAAACGATTCCATAAAGATGCGGTTAATAAAGGAGAATGGGACGTGGTCATGGCGTCCTACCAGCCAAGATGTAAGGGATCCATCTAAAACAGACTCTCCTTTCAGAGACCTTATTAACCAGCGATTATAAGCAGAAGACTTCACCGGGCATAGGTCAGGGCTGAGGCTATTTGTAGCTCAAGAAATGCTCCTTTGTTTGAATGACCAGGCAATCAGATTGTTCAGAGATGCAATCATCCAGAGAAGACACAAGTCGAAAGAAGTCTGAGCAGAACCGGGTACAAGTGGCTGAAAGGCACCCATGTAACTTGGCTCCCAGAGCCGGCCTTCGGTTCTGTACAAACTGCTTCCTAGACATGAATTAGAATTAAGAACTAAAACCGTGTGTGTGGGTGGGCTGTTTAAGACAGTGCCCAGTGGCTGCCCCTTTTAAAGGTCTGGCCTTCGGAACAATGCAGGCCGGGTCACTCATCAAACGAAGATTGACTTTTATCCGATTAACCGATGGAGAAATATCCTCCTCCCTCTCGAGGGAGCGTGCTGTGGGAAAGGCGTTTTGCAGACTGCAGGGAAAAGTTGGGCCTTGGCTTCCCTCCCGCTCGGCCAGTGGAAAATTACAAAGGAGGCAGGGCTGTCCTCGGCCCTGCTAACTGGATCTTCCTGGGCCAGGAAAACACAGTCACCCTCCTCCTCCTCCCCCCAGAAGAGTGAGGTTTTACCTACCTGGGGCAGAGAGGAGTCTGGGAGGTGGTGGCGGCGGGGGTGGTGGGGGGAGCGGGGGTGGGGGCCGGCACTGGCAGATGTGTTGGCAGCTGTCAGTCACCTTGGAGCAGGACTTCTGGGGCTCACCGTGCGTCACCTGCAGACATGAGCACACCCAAGAGATGCAGGGGAAAGCAAGGCAGCTGGAAGCTGAAATGGGCCCACCCCAAAGCCATTAGGCTGGGACTCGGGATTCTTCCCCAGAACCAAGGCAGGCAGGATAGACCATGCCAAGGGAATGATGCTACAGGAAGCTGGCAGCTTGCGTGAGACCAACCAAGGTTTTATTCCGAGCTCTGCCAAGAACTGGCTTTGGCTTTGGGACTCTGGGTAGGTGACCTGGACAGTAATAAAGGTTATTGCAAGTTAACCTGCAGCATTTCCTCATGGTGCAAAAGAGGAAACTGAGGCCCAGGCAAGCGTGGTGCTCCTGGAGCACAGGGGTGTCACAGCTGAATACTGACAGCATTATTCAGTTTAACTCTGCAGCAGCCTAAGCCCAGCCATCTCCCATCTTCCTTGCAACAGGACAGGGCCAGGCCCTGGCTTTTTCTGCAGTCCAAGTTCCTGCCATGTTGCTGTGATCACTCTAGGGTAAGGTCCCTCTAGCTTGGAGAGCAGCCAGACCCCTACTCCTCTGTCTTACAGGATCAAGGGACAGAGCCACCTGTCCGTGCTGTCTGTGCAGTGCCTGAGTGGCCTTGTGGGAAACATCCCCCTCCAATTCTCCAGTAACCGCCAAGCTCCTCCCCACTGCTCGGGGCTGCACGGCCCACAGTCCCATGCAGGGTGACCTCAGCAACCGCCCTGCCTCATCCCACGCTCCTGCAACCTCTGTTCTGCCCTCATGTTCTCCTTTCAGTTCCTGGACCCTGGCCTTTGCACACACTGTGCCAGTGCCTGGGAAGTTCTCCCATCCTTCCCCCCTTCATATTCTACTACTCAGCTCACTTGGGGTGCTGTCACCTCCTCCAGATCGTATCTCCCTTACCAACTCTTCTTTTAGGCTCCCCCCAGCACCAGCTTCCATCTGTGGGGGCAGAAATCTGTTGGTGACTATGTGCATCCTACCTGCCTTTGCCATGTACCTGCAAGCTCTATAAGGGCAGAGCCAAGCGTCAGCCCCCTCACCCCTGCCACCCACTATTATAACCAGCATGTATGGTATAGAGCACCTAGCATTCACACATTTGGTGAATGGATATCAAAAGCTGGAGTGGAACCCACACCTCAGGCACCCTGGCCTGGTGTTTCCTGGCATTAGTCTAGGTCTCCTCATCTGTAAGCCAGGAAGGGTCGCAGGTAGGAGCTGAGCTCAACCAAAGCTTCTTAGTCCTGGCTGCTCTTTAATGAATAGTGTCCCCTGAGCCTTACCCGCAAGCCAGTCAATCAGACTTTTTCAGGTGGGGCTGGGCCTCAGTATTTGGATTCAGCCTCCAGGTGAAATCTGAGAAAGCCTGTGTGAGGACCACTGGTGTAGAGTGACTGACAGTGTCCCTGCCTATGCAGACGGCTGTGAGGCCACAAGTCCAGAGTTTTGTGCCTGTCCCAGGAAAAAAGCTGATTTCAAGGCACCCAGGGGGGACCTGGTGGTCACTCTCACCTCAGTGATGGTCAAGGTTAATACCCTGACTGTCACCTCCAAGGGAGGAGAAACTCAGAACCCCAATGTCCCTGCGACCGTGTGCAGCCTGCCTCAGCAGAGTGATATTCTGAGTCCCTTCACTGTGTGGGTGGCAAGGCCGGGGAGCTCCCAGAGCACATGGTTGAGCTGAAGAGGCCAGGTGATGTCCATTGGGGTGACAGCAGGTGATGTCCATTGGGGAGATCAACTGATTTACAACCCAAACTTAGTACCTAAGCGGCCAACAGGCTTCAACTCACAACCTCGTCAGGGACCACTGCCCGCCTGTCAAACTTTCTCTCGGAAGGAAGAGCACATCCCCAGATGGTGAACCTTTTCTTCGTTAGTGGAAGGAGATGATTAACCCCTTACACATCAGGCTGATTCCACCAGCTCCTCCCCAGCGCCCCCTGCATCAGGCCTGCGTCCTCCAGACTGCAGCCTTCCCTGACTCTGATTTGCTGGGAAGCTTCAGGTTCCCACAGCTGTCTGCCCAGGCTGCTTCCCACTGTGCTCTATGAAGTGAGTGTGTGATCTCCAGGCCAGGCCGGGCCAGGGCCAAAGCAATTACTTTCCCCAGGTCTCCAAGGCCCAACTGACGTGAGCAAGACCAAGAGGAGCGTGTTTGTTTAACCTGGCCCCACACAATGCCCTATTTTTGGGAGAGGATACATGGGCACAGATGGAGAAGAGTGTTTAATATGAGACAAGACAGGCAGGAAAATCGGGGCCAAGTTTCAAGGCTGGAGGAGGAGAAGGAAGAAGGGCACTGTGTTTTTAACATCTTCGGGTCCCTGCTCTCCTAGGAAGCCCTGTGTGGTGGGTGAGTGCACCCACTTACCTAACCCCCCTCAGAAGGACCCAGTCTGGGCTGGCTCACCCTTCTTTGTCCACTAGGACCACACTGGAGTTTCTGATTGTTTGGTCCAGCTCAAGCCTATGACTGCTGAGTTTCCATTTATCCATCATGCATAACCAAACTCTCCACCAATCAGGGTAGGCCACGCTGAACCCCATGAGACCCAAGTTAGGCCCACCCACTCAAGGATGTTTCCTCACTTTGGTGACTTCCCTGCTGCTTCTTTCTCTCTGTCTCCCCAGCTTAAGTTGTGGGTGTCTTGGGGCATCAGGTAGGTAAGTCTTTGGTGAACAAGTAACCTGTCGAGCCCTCATGAGTGTCAGCCTCGGGAACATACCTCATTTCTCCATGAGGACAGCCAAGAAGGGAGACTTATTAGCACACAGGACTAGGATGAGGGATCAGTCGAGAACAAAGTTGCCCAGCACCTGGTAGCTGGTCTCAGTGGAAAGGTATGTTAGGAACATGGGATCTGCCCCATTCTCCAACTCTGGCTTTACTTCGGGGTTCTGCTCATTGACAGTGGTAAATTTCAACCAGCAGAGAGGAGCCCTCAGAGGTGGGGAGATTATCTCAGCTCCTAGTTTCATCAGTTTCTGTCTTGGGAATTCTTGCAAGAAGAAACTTCCTGCTACATCCCCTGCTCTTAGCTGGACTTGACTGAGAAAGCCTGAGGCCCACGAGATCAGGGACTTGCTGAAACCCCACAAATGACAGCTGGCATCACTGCTTCCATCACCTGCCTGCCTGCCCTGGGCTGTGGCCTTCTCTGGGGGCCAGAGTTCTGCCTCTGTTGTGGCTGCAGAGAGGACACAGGTAGGTCCTGGAGCCCCCTGGACCTGGTACTTGTCACTGTGGTCTGGGAATCACGGTGTTTTAAGGCTACCAGTTCCCCAAATCAGCAGCCTCTTTCCTAACTACCACCCCACTCATAGCCAATCAGCAGAGCCTTCAAATCCAGTGAGCACCACCTCCAAATGGGTTTGGGCCCATTACTTCCCTCAGTTCCCTGTGCTGTCCTAACCAGGCCCTCATTAGATCTATACTGGGTAGCGCTTGCCTCTCATCTAGGGTTTCCAGATAAAATTCACATTTCAGATAAACAACAGATGACTTTCTAATGTAAAAATGTCCTCAACATCTATGGAGTAGACATGCTACAGAAATAACCAGCGGTTTACTTGAAATTCAGAACTAACCAGGTCTCCCACATTTTCATTTGGTAACTCACCTAAGCATCCCTAATCTCTTTGCTCCCTCCTGAAAACCATCTTTTGTGATGAAGCAGGGCTGAGGTGTCTGAAGTGCCTGTCTATCTGGGATGGTGTTCCCTGTCCCTTCATACCAAGTCTCCATGGAACTTGGGATCAAGTCCAATCTGCGATGGACACTGTTAGGGCCTAAAACAGGAGTCCCCCCGCTCCCTGGAGGCTGCTCCCCGTTTTGCATCATGATTCCTCAAACTTCATGTCATCTCCGCTGCGGGTTCTCAGACTCCAGCCACATGCTCCTACTGAGCTCTCTTGCTGTGATCCCTTGTGTAAGGACCTCCCTCGGGCCAGATTATCAATGCCACAAGGGCAGGGACCACTAAGATACTTGCAGGTAACACTGGACCTGTGGAGTGGGTGCCTAGTAAACACTCAATAAATAAGAAGTGCTAGGGCCGGGGATTTAGCTCAGTGGTTTAAGTGCCTGCCTGGCAAGTGCTAGGTTGTGAGTTCGATCCCTGGTACAAAAAAAAACCAAAAAACAAAAATCGCAGCGGTAGTGACCCACTATGGGAGGCTTTGGCCTCACTTGGGTCTGGTAGCTGCTCATGAGCACGCAGAGATCCATCAGGTCAGCCCCAGCCTGTCTCTCTGGCAGCTGCTTCAGATGGGAAACCACAAAGATGATGGTTTCTGGCATCCTTTATGGAGACAGGCCAGCACCCCAGTAACTTGATGAGACACACTCCTGTCACACCTAATAAATTTGCCAGCCTGTCATCCTCTTCCCTTGCAAAAAAAAGAAAGGAAGAAACAATCAACTGAAGTGAACTTACAAGAACCCTAAATCAGAAAAGCACAAAATCTCAGTTCCAAGCACATTAAAGCAAAACGGGGAACAGCTAGGGGATGCCCCCACCAACCCTTCTGGCAATTTAAGTGTCACCTGACTTCAGGGATTAAGTCCCTTATCATCTAGCAGAGCTAAAGGCTTCAAGGCTGATTGCAAGGGAGGAACCCGGTGGTCTGGGGACCCCAGCTCTCTTGCCTCAGCAGTGACCCCCACGAATCATAAGACTTTGTTGCAGCGGCCCCATCCACCTAGATGTTTACCGCTGGAGAAGTCTTCTGGCAAAGCACTCGTGGAAGCTCAGATAGCTCTGGGCTTGTTTGTATGTTTAAGAAACTCCTGTGACATGACAGATTTTATTCCGTCTGTTTAAAGAGAAGCGCATGGCCTTGTGCGCTCCCTTTCTTTCTCTTCCCTCCTGCCTTTCCCTGGATTCAGCTCTCCTGCCTGAAAACCAGATCCATTCATTCCAAAACACCTTACCCCTGGGTTCTCTGTCCCTGTCATTTGTAAATTAATTTTTCCAGAGCCTCAAGCCAAGATTTTACCCATTCTATTTATCTGGCAGATTCTTTTCCTAATTGATTTTCATGAAAAATGATTGGTGTTGAGTAACAGTACACACACACACACACACACACACACACACACACACACACGCCTGGGTAAGTACTGCCTGGCTTAAGGACACTTAAAAAAACCTGTGCTGCTTTTACAAAATTATTCCTTTTGAGGGCCATGAGGCAGGGTGAAAATAGGTCTTTTATAGGTTCTGCTAACACACACAGTAGAGTTCTAGTCTTAACACAGACATAGCATCATCGCCTATTCTCCATGCTAGCTGAAAAAGTCTTAAGAAGAGAGAAAACTGCAACAAATAAATATAAAAATCAAATGAGTTTCACATCCGAGGGTCAGCTAAAAGTTGAACAAGGGAAACTGGTCCCAAACACCAAAATGTTTAAAAGCGACACAGCTGAGTCTTATTAGTGCTGTTTCACACACTAAACAAAGCTGTCAGCTTTGAAAGGAAAATAATTGTTAGAGGTAAGAGAGGACTGGTGGTGGGAGATGCCAGTTCAAAGCCCTAGTTCCCAGGCCACCATCCGAGCAAGACTGACCATGCCAGGTCCCAGCAGGGTCCTGTCATTTAGGGTAGCTTTCAGACCACAGGAAACTGGAGAGTAGTGTCACCCATTCTTTCTTTGCTCTGTCACTATCAGAAGAGTCCCCAACTCTCCTCCCGCAGAGTACCAACAGCAGAACATGAATCTGCAGCTACCCAAGGAAGGGTCCTTCAGTACCCCTCATGGTGACAGTTCTCATAGCTCAAAGCTGTTAGGCCATGGCGACTGATGGGTGACCCCACAGGCCAGAGGGAAGGACATCATTTCTATTAGTCATCTAATAGCAGCAAGAGCCACCGATAGTTTAGCATGGGTCAGGCACAGCACTGAGGAACCCTCACTTCCTTGGTCTTATCAAGTACTTATACACACATGGTCAAGAAGAAACCAAGGCTCAGAGAGGTTAAGTAGGTTGCCCAAGGTCCACCCGCTAGTGAAGAGCAGAAGCAGGGCACACAACTCAGAGCAGACACCAACAGCCACCTATTGCCTGTGTACTGTACCATAGACTATAAACATCCTGAGCAATGCGAGGAAGCAAGCACCCCATCTAACCCTCACTTGGCTCTAGGAGGTAATGTCAGTTGGTGGCTTCCTGGCCTCTCCCTCTGGGGCCCTAGAATAAGGAATTCATCTTCAGGCAGTCCCGATCAATAGACAGGGCCTTCTATTCTACGTGTGGCCACATGCATTATCTTGCATTATCTGTCTACATCCTGGGCTCTGCTATCTGCAAGAAACACGACCCCCTCCTGTGTTGAGGAGCAGTTCAGCTAATTTGAAGTTTAGCAATGGAATCTAGTGGAAAGTAAAGAACACACATTCTTGGTATCATTTTTTAAGTTTGTTTTCTTGGTCCTTAGATTTCCCCAGTAACATGTTACCAACAGAGACCACTATCCCTAAGCTCTTTTCTATGCCATGGCCCTGTCCTGCAGGCCTTGGGACACAAAAGAAGTCTCTTTCTGGGCTTTATCTTTTCGAGGCCAGAGCATGGAGAATCCTACCAGCTTTTCTTTTTCTGAGCTCTCCCCAGGCCCTATTGGAGCGGGAGCCAGGGTCTCAGAAGTGAAGCTCCCCGGAGGACTCCTAGCCCGCGCAGCTCTCTTCTCTGCTCACCTGTACGAAGCCCCAGAGCGGATGGAGCGCGCAGTGCAGCAGCAGCGAGGGCCAGCGACAGCCACGGCGCAGTACCAGGTCCCGGAGGAGCATCTCGGCCCACGGCGCCCACTGATGGGGCGAACTGCCAAGGGAACAAGGCTCAAGTCAGCCGGTCACACGCGGGCACCATCGCCGCCGCACACCAGCACACCTACCAGTCCAGCTCAGGAGGGTACGCCCCGCACTCCAGGGGACTTTTGTAATCCTAGCCTACAGCTACACTCCAGTTTGCACACTCACTGACTCTCCGTGCATCCCAGAACTCACACCCTATCCTGGCGCAAAGCCCAGGATACTGCGGGCACTCTTTGCCCCAGGCACACCTCTTCCAAAAGCAGCATAGAACACTTACTGAACCCCCATGTCCCGCAGAAACGACCACGCACAACTCAAGTGCCATAGGAGCACACGCAAACGTGGCGGGAACCACTCACTCTGCGCAACACACCCACTGATCCCCTGTGCACACTCACCGACTCCTGCCCGCTTGCTCACTCGCTGACCCTGCATGCACAACACCATGAAAACACTCGTGGCGTGCACCCTCTCTGCGCCCCTGGCCTCACTGCGCACACCGCAACAATTGCACCCCCGCGAGCACTCGCGTTTGCCCCCCGGAGCCCGGTTCTCCCACTTCTGAGCGTGGGTTTCCCTGCACGCCTCCACCTCCGCCCGCGCCCCTCCGATGCCGCACGCCACCTCGTCTGGCGGCGGCCCCAACCAATCCTCACCAGGAGAAGAGAGGTCAGCGATTCGCCCCGGCAGCAGCTCTGTTCTCCAGCCGCCCGGACAGCCCCCATTTAAAGCCAGCCGCCTCCCCAGTCCCCCGCCCCCTAGGCGGGGCCTCGGTTCTCACCCTGGCAGCTGCGCTGGCGCTTGGGGGCTTCACATGTCGCGGAGGAGCGCCGGGCACTGAAGCAAAAGTTTGCGCTCTCCCTGGGCCTCCAGGACTGCTGAGCTCCGGCCCCGGGCGCGCCGCGCTCGCACGGGGCGCAGGGCGCTGTGGCTCTGAGCTGCGCCTGGTGGCGCGCGGGGCGGGAGAGGAGGCACCCCGCGCCCGGAGCTCGGGCCGTTACCGAGGCGGAGCCGGAGGGCGGGGAAAGTCTCCTTCTGCCGCCTGGAGCCGGCTGTGCGAGCCTCGCAGGAGCCCGCGGCCGCTCCCCGACCCGCCGAGGTCCCCGCCCTTCCCGTTGGCGCCCCGCGGCTGCCCTGGGCGCGGGGTGCGGAGCTCTACGTGCGCTTTAGGCCGGCCGGCCGGAGGCAGCGGCGAGAGGCGTTTTCCCGGAGCTCCTGCTCGAGCAGCAGGGCCGCGGACGGAGATGAAATAAATAATGCACGAAAAAGGAAAACAGACGTGAGCGGAGCCAGAGCCTCGCCCGCCTCCCGCCCGCGCTCCCCGCCGCCGCCGCCGCCAGCGCCGCTGCAGTGATTCCTCGACTCCATCTAGCGAGGCTATTGTGTATTGGGCGCTTAATAATTTATTTATCCACCTGGAGGCCCAGGACTCCTAGTTCTGGGGATCTTGAGCCTTGCTTGTGCTTTCCCCCAAGTTTATCCTGAGACTGCGAGAAGGTGTCGGGCTGACTCGTAGAGACCCCTCCCCCACCTTTGCTCTGAGACTCCACCGGCCCCAGGGCTGTCACGTGCAGGCGCCGCTCTGAGGCCGCGCACTTTGTCTTCCCTCCGCTTTGCAGCCCCCGCCGTGGGGCCACTCCTCCACCGCTGCGCCGCCTCCCCGGAGGGAGCAGCGATGGCCCTGGGGAGGATCTTTCCACCACCGCTGTTTCTAAACATCCGCAAACTCCTCTTTGAGGCAAGATTATCAACAAGTCGGTTGTTCCAGAAAGAGCCGGGTTACGTCTCCCGCAGACAAGCTGCTCCTGGCTTCCAAAGCAGCTCCGCAGACCGGCGCGGGTGCTCTGGTCTGGAAAAAGCACTTTGCAAGCGCTTTGATTGTGGGGTGGCTACGAGTGGGGGGAGGGGCTTCCAGTGAGGCCGCCCAAGACCTGGACCGTCCTGTGTTTAGCTGGCCTAGAGTACCAGGAGCTTAGGACGCGGTGCAGAGACAGATCTCAGCTCATTCATCAAAGAAGCGTTTACTTAGTACCTGTCCTCAGTCTCCAGGGCACCCCTGGGCCACCTCGTGTAAACCTGCACTCTGTGAACTGTTCGTTCTGCAAACCAGCTTTCAGAGGGATGTCTTAGTAACCTCTTCCTGTCAGAGACCCGGGACGCAGCACTCTTCTCCGTAGACTCTGCGGACCTGCACCTTCTCCGGGGAGATCCTGAGGGACAAATGAGAATGAGACATGGTCCCTTCCTCCCATTTCTGGGGAGGGGGGCGGTAGGGGTAATGGGGTTCTCTGGCTTTCCATGGGTGTGGGAAAGGGGCCTGCACTGAAAGAAGAGGACTGAGGAATGGAGACCATGGAGAGAAAGGATAAAAGCTTCCAGGACAAGGTGACCAGGGCTGAGAGGGGGGCATTTAAAGCGTTTAAATGCCGTCGGCACACATACCCAGTCGTTTATTCATTCACTCACTTATTCATTTTATAAGCAGTGTGCCTGGGCACCTGTCAGAAGACAGTCTGAGCACTGGATGCTGGGAAGAAATCAGTGACCAAAACAGATCGGTTCGCTGTCAGAGAGGAGGGATGGGAAGAAATGGTGGGGGAGGGGATTCCCGGGTGACTCATCCACAGTTTGGAGAAAGAGAAAGAAGCACAAAATGGAGCCACGATTGGTTAGCTGAGTTCCGGTGACACCGGTGTTCCCACGCCTTCCCAGCTTAAGCCAGTGCGTTCCTCAGACTGGGACCTACTGTATCTTTAGATAGGACGGCAGTCCCTCAGTGTATACCTAGAGCCATGCCCCTGGAAAATAATTGCTTTCCTCAGATTTTAATTCAGGTCTCATGACTCAGTGCGATACAGGCAAGTGCCCCATTTGGGAAGCTCGTATATGTTTGTAACATAGCTGGAGGCACACAGCAGCCCTGCTGGGATTCAGAAGCACTAGCTCCCAATTAGAGGGTCAACACTGGCAAGCTTGGGCAGGCATTGTACCTGCTGAGCCTGCAGGACGTACTCTGGTCTCCCATATTCCTCTACTGGACCTCTGTGTACCCATGCACCTCTCGAGAGTCCCCTGGCCCTCATCTTCCTGGCCTGCTTGAAACTGGAATGTTACTGTCTCTGTTAGGGTGAAGACCAAGCTGGGTCCCAGGTCCCTCATGCCACAGCAGAACCTAGGGAAGTGCTGGCTCCTCTCACCTTTTCTGGGTATAGTTGGTGAACCATATACATGTCACAGGGGATCTGCTTAGAGAAGCCAGCTGGCAGCTCCACTCTGAAACGCAAGGTAGTTAAACTTTGGGGGGGAAAAGTTAGCCACAGAAAACCAGGAGACCCAGCTGACTGTCAGGTGTCCAGTAAGTGATTGAGCAATTGGCAATGTTTTCTTCTGATGTGTGGCCAGCCTGGTAATCCACAACTTTGTGCTTGCTCCCCTCCCTACTACCCCATTTCCTTTGCCCCCCTCCCAATTTTATCCCTCAATAAAATGTCAACAAGTGTGTAAGCCAGGTTCTCCAGCGGAACAAAACCCCTGGAATGTATACATAATTACTGGAGGGGCTTTGTTAGGTTGCCTCATACAACCAGAGACTGGGTGGGTCTACAGTGGCTGGAGAGCCCGGAAAAACTGGTAGAGATTCAGTCCAAGAAGCTAAAAACCTCAGAACAAGCAGGTCCAATTGTGCAGTTCCAGTCCAAGCTGAAGGCCTGCAATCCCCACAGAGAGCTGCTGGTGCAAATCTGTGTTCAAAGACTGGAAAATCTGGAATCTGATGTCTGCTGGCAAGGCAGCAGCAAAAATTCCCCCCCCCCCCATGAGCTCCCATCTTCCACTTTTTATTCCATCTGGGCCCAAACCTATTGGATGGTGCTGCCCACATTCAGGGTGGGTCTTCCCCACTCAGTTGGGTGGCACACGGATCAGTCACCTCTGAGGACACCCTCGCAGACATATCCAGAGGGGTTCTTCATTAACTTTCCAGGCATCTCTTGATTTAGTCAGGAAGACAACCAAGATAAACCATCATGGCAAGTAAACCTTGCTTCATGCTCAGTCTCCTAAGGAACAGGGACAGTTGTACCAAAAGTGACACCAAATGCAGGGCTTCAAGATGAGATGTCGGAGTTGGATTTCCCATCAGCTTATAAGTGGTCAGGGCGCCACTGCTGAAGGTAAGTAGGATCATAAATGACAGAACTAAAGATTCATCTGAAGCTAATTAGGATGAAGTCAGAAAGCAAAGCTTTATGGAATCAAGCTTTATGGCTACTGGGTTGCTCAATGTGAGAGAAATGGTAATCGTAAAAAAATGGGGGATTGGTTAAGTGGAAGACTTGTAAAGATGAAATGACAAGCTTAGGGAAGCTGTTTTCTAACTTAAGCTATGTGTGCAAAACTCTTGAGGGTACTCTTGAAATTCACAAGACAGACTGTATTGAAAATTAAACTCAGGATTTGAGTTAATCATGGCAGAACTATAAAGGAGGCCGAATGTACAGCCATGTAGGTGTCTTGTGTCCAACTCAGAGCTCTGATGGAGAAATTGTTGAACGTTGTAAACTGAAATAGATACCTTTGCACATGTTCAATCCAAAATCTTTCTAAATCTTCTGGTAGACAGAAGCAACTCTTTCCCCCTTGTTAACACAAGAGCTCTCTTGTCCTGGCTACCACAATCATCTACTACAATAGCCTGGTACTTTGCAAGATGGTACCCACCTGTTCCCCTGGAAAGGACCTGGGACATCTCTGCTCAGATAGAACCAAGAACAGGCACCAGCAACTTCAAAGATTCTCCAGGTTAGGAACCCCAGACGAGGAGAAGAGCTGACCATGGATATCTAGAATTGGTGCTGGTTTGGCGGAAGATAATGAATATCAATAAATGAATGTCAGCTTTAACAGAGGGATTGTCACTTGGTTTATGAATCCTTCATGCTCCTGTTACCACATAACGAATAGACTTGGACCTGCATTTTTAAACCGATGGTATTTTGTTCTCAAGTTGAATCCCAATGTCATAAGAGAAGGGAGAAAGTTGGTCTTAATCCATTTTCTATTATCCATTTGGTAATTTAAAACAGAAAAGGTTTATTTTGCCTCGTGGTCCCGGAAGCCCAAGAGCAGGCACTGGCGTCTTCCCAGGTTCCAACGATGGCCTTATAGCACGAGGGCAAGTAAGCCCGTGCAAAGGCAGGGCACGTGGCTAGAGAGGAAGCAAGAGACAGAAAGCCAAACTTGCATTTATAACAACTCTAGGGAAACTACATTAATCCCTCCTGTGGATGGAGACCCATAACCTCAACTCTTAAATGTCCTAACCACTCCTCAACATTTACTTTGAGAAATAAAACCTAATGTAAGTTGTAGTGGAGACAAACTATATTCATACTATAACAGACTGAATAGTGCAAGGGGTGGGCAGTATTGGGCTCATTGGTACACTTCCGGGGTTTACACCCTTTTCATGCTGCCCGTGGAAGCAGCAGTGGAGTCCTGGAGGTTTTTTGCTTCCCCAGCCAGTTCCATACCAGATCAAATACATGCCATGGGGAGTGGGCCTGAATTCCCACTACTGTGCATGAGCTGAAGGTGTGGAGTGACTGATCTGAACACTGATCAGGGATGGTCTGGGAAAGCCTGGCAGAGGAGTTATCTCCCCTTCTCTACCCGTGGCCCATCTGGCTCATTTCAGTGTGTCTGCAGCATGAGCAGCTGGCCGTGTTTCCTGGTGAAGCTTTGGCCTGCTCAGCACCAGCTCTGATTTGCTCCCCTTCCTTGCCTCCTTATATTTCTTATATTCCTTCCCTCTTTCTAACCCAGACTGCACTCTCTAAAATGCACCACCAAATCACCTTTCCATCAGGTTTCCTTGTCCAGAGAATCCCAATGGGCGTGATACTGCCCACCCCTTGCTCTAGGCTAGGTTTGAGAGGTTTTGTGGGTGCAGAGTTTGTGACCACAGGCATAAAACAAAGTGAAATACCATGGCAGCCAGGATATCGTATGTCCTTGAACATCTGTATACTTGGAAAGAACTGGAGGAGGTGGCTTCTTGCATATGCAGGTGATTGTCCTTAGGCCTCTAGGAGTCTATAAATATAGGCAGATTCTAACAGTGAGGGTTTCATGCTGGTCAAGAACTCAGGCTCTGGTGTTAGACTACTTAATTCTTACCAGATGTATAATCTTTGGATATTTTTCTAAGCCTTAAAGTCTGACTTCTTTCCCCTGTCTCTAATGGGTTATAATAGTATTTGTATAAAATTAGATCCCAGAATTTTTGGAAGGATAACTGAGAATTCATATAACCTAATGCATAGTAATTGCTCAAAAATATTTATCTCCATTTGGAAGGATAGAAGGGCAAAAATGCTAGACTTGCAAGAGTGTTAATGGGCATCAGAGATCTTCGTGAGAAGAACACATAGAAAATTAAAAATGCTTCTAAGATCTCTCTTAGGACTTCCTGGGACATCACTGTCCTGATGTTAAGCCGGCTATACTCACATGGGCAGAATATATCCCTGCGGTTGTGTGGTGGGCAAATTTGCCCTGACTCACATTGCATAAACCTCCCCAACAATGCGCTGGTCCAAGTCCCTGCATCTGTACAGATGCTTATATGTGGAGATGGAAGGCAGGAGGAGTCAGGAAGCCCAGATTTTAAACTTTAAGCTTTGTGCATCTTCTGGGTGTTGTCACCCATTTTCTTAACCCTAAGAATGGACCAAGGTTTGGGAAAAAGTTGTCAGGTCAGGCGTCCCTGATAGTCACAGCCTGGCTCAGCGTCAGTTTCCTGTCCATACAGACAGGATCCAGGAGAACATCTGGTTAGGACCACTTGGCTGGCAGCACCGTTGGTTAAGCCAGTCAAGTCCAAAGGTGGGTGGAGTCAGCTCCTTCACCTCCATTCAACTGGACACCAACATATGCTGGGCCAGTCTGCAGCCAGAAAGAAGGCAACTGGTTCTGCTTTGCAAATTCTCCAGTTCAAAAGGTGGATGAGAAGTAGTCACAGCCCTACCGGGCAAATAAAGCTGTTTCTTTTTCTTGCTTACAACTTCCCCCAAGATTCCCCAGCATCTCCCTCCCCTGTCCCTTCCTCCCTGGCCTTTATACTTTGACCTTCTGAGTTCCCAGCATGCTCCTTGCTATTTCCCACCTCCCTGCTCTTGTTCCAGCTGCTTCCC